TCACCCCAGCTGTCTCCAACGCAAGTCCGTTGTTGAACTACAACGTTCTTTTGTTGATCTGCAAGGTAAGTCCTAAGTTTGTGTTATTATGCGACCATTCATAGACTTACTTTCCCGTTTAGCGGCCTCAACAACTTATCGCCTCCAATCCACGTTCCCAAGGCTCGACACGACGTATCGACGTCTGCCAAACTCCCTTGGGATGTCGTTGACGTTGCCGCTGTGGCGTCGTTGATGTTGCCGCAGGTCGTAGCTTTCGGATCAAGGTGAGTTTTACGTCGTTCTGAGTTCTGATGCAAGGACTTACATGTTTGAAAGTCGTTTACGCCTGTTAACGTTGCCCTGCATTTGCAACGTCACCAAATGCACCCTATCCGCCGTCAACGCAAGTCCGTGGTCAAGTTTTGACGAGTCTGCTGCTGATTTCCGAAGTAAGTCGTTCGCTTTTGTGATTATGCGAGTATTGATGACTTACCTCTGGAATTCAGGCGCTTCAACATGTTTCGCCCCCCATCCACCTTCCCAAGGCCCAACACAATGTATTGAAGTCCGGCAAACATGTTGGGGACGTCATTGACCTTCTGCAAACACGCAACTTTGAAAATGCGTGAGTTTTGTGTTGAATTAAGTGCCGAATGTCCACTTACTTCTTTGAAGGTCGTTATCACCCGCTATGGTGTTAAGAACGATTCTACGCACTTGACACGTCACCAACGATGCCCTAAGTGGTTTCCACGGCGGATTGTCGTCAAATAACGGCCCGGTCTTCAACGTATGGCGTAAGTTTGTCGTGATGTGCATGTCTCTGAAATCTAGCCGTTCTGACTTGTAATTGCAGAGATATCTGCATCTTTGGACTTGTCAGTAAGTTTTCAGCCTCTAAATGAAGTGCTGACACATACTTTGTGAAGTTGGCAGGAAGAGACCCTTTGTTTGGTTGTGTTACATCTAGTAGATACTTCACGTTTGTCGTTGATAGCAATTTTATGGGGAGGTTCTGCTCGTCCGTTGTACCTTGTACCGAAAATATGACTGAAAAAGGTTGAAAACTTACCACTTTTCACAGCTGACCTTGAATCTCTCTTTTAACTCTAAATGGCTGGTTTCTCGTTGGTCCGGCAGCTTCTCGGACTTTGAACTAGCACGGAAACATGCGACCACAGCGTAAACAAACAATGCTTTCCTTCTCTCTATCAACATGACGCGTTCGCGCGTTTGTTGGCCTGTGGAGCTCTTTTATCCACTCTTTTCCTAACCCTTCTCCTTTTACGTGACGCCACGACCTCTCTCGACCAAACGCACCATCCCTACGACGACTTCGACACATCATCACCAACCCACTCCGTCCAAGCGCCTCTCCCAGTCCCGGCATCCACACCGCCTAAATCAGAATGGTGCCAATACAACGACTGTTTAAAAGGCCACTGGGCAGCATGCACTCCCCCATTCCGAAACCTCGCAGACTTTCAAGAAGCGTACAAGAACATGCAAGAACCAATTTGGTCCCGTGCGCCTATCCCTTCGCCTTCTATATCTGGGGTGGAGGTTAGCGATGAGGAGAGGAAGGTATTGGAGGAGCAGAGGCTTGTGGATTTGATGAATTATGTTTGGGTTCCGAGTGGGAAGATGAAGGAGTGGGATCCGGAGGAGTTTGTTGTTCAGATGTTGAGGACTCCGGGTGGATA